AGAATCATTAATATACGTTGACTCAAAAAAATAATATTTATGCTTATAATTATCATCATACAGGCAGTAAAAATTAAAGATTCAGAATAAGCAAACACAAATTCAAGAATCATTAATATACGTTGACTCAAAAAAATAATATTTATGCTTATTATCATCATACAGGCAGTAAAAATTAAAGATTCAGAATAAGCAAACACAAATTCAAGAATCATTAATATACGTTGACTCAAAAAAATAATTTTTTTGCCTCTTGCATTGAATAATTTCATTATTTGGTATATAAACTAAAAAGTGATAAATAATATTTATGCTTATTATCACAGAAAAACATAGACTTATCACACCGTAGATATCTGATAATTAGGGGGTGTTTGGCTGCACAATTTTATAGAAAAGTTTTCTCAAAATGTCTGACAATGACAATTCTGTAAATAAAAAAAATTCCGTAGATTTCCGTAAACTGTGTTTGATTAAAAAAAATTACAGAAATGTTTTCTGTAAAGTACAAAAAAGTTCCAAATTTTACATAAATCAAATTCCCCTCAAAACGGGCAGAAATCACACAGAAATCTGACACTACATTGACATTTTTCTATAAATTTAGGGGGTGTTTGGTTCAATTTCTACAAATTATAGAAAATCTTGCTATTTTCTATAAAGTTATGAGTCGTTTTTTTTGTTTTGAACCAAACAAACAAAGTGAAAAAACAAGAAAATTTGTACTTTTTAACTTCTCAAAACTTTTCCTATAGTTTTTTTTTAAGAAATACAAGGAAAACATATTTTGGGTGGAAAACATTTCCTATAATTTGTAGAAATTGAACCAAACACCCCCTTAGATGGCACATCTAAAAAAAAAATGATGGCAATATAATAAAAAACAAGAAACAAAAAATCATAATCAATTATGATCTTATATTTGCTTCCTTTAGATTTTATATCTGAAACATCATTACCAGTTTGTTTGCAAATTAGATGATGGAAGCCTTTCCACCAAAAGTCCATGATAATTAGGTTAGCCTTCTTTTCATAAATCACATACTCATCAAGATTTCCAAATTAACTATTAAAATTCACAATATATTTCCTAATAAGATTCTTATATACTTGAAAACAAAACTAACGCATATTCTTCAAATAAAACCATAAACATCTGTCAAAATAAATTAAAATTTTTTAAATAGTACTTCTATTATCTACATCATGCAGCTGGCTACTAAATAAAACAATGTATTAGGTTAACTTTACTAATCACATAGTAACCATTTGAATGGAAAGTTACCAAAGCACAAATATTTTATAAATTTAATTATTAATTTTGCGGCTTGACATTAATCCTAAACAAATAAAAGGTTTTCCTTTGTTCTTCAGAATACATATTGCATCAGCAAAATGATATTCAGATAAATAATAGGCCGAAATTAAGAGTGAAAAGTTCATAATTCTTATCAAAATAAATTAAATTATGGACACCAAGCATGATTCACGTAGATAGTAAAATTTAGACAAAGCATATAGATTTCACTTTATTTCTTATCTTATTCTCCTTAATTTTACAGTACATTCTTAACAAAAAAAGTATATATTGAATTAACTAAAGGAAATTAAGATGAAATAATAATCATAAATGCAGCAAAAAAAAAGTAATATACCAGATTATTAATGACGTCTATAAATTAAGACGAGCTGGATATTTTAAGAAAGGAGATACATAAACAAATTGAATCTTTCCCAATTGTCTTTGAAAATAAATTACCAAAGACCGCAAGCAAAATTCCCAAAAATAGTAAAAAGTGTTTTTTTAATTACCTTTTATTCTCTCTCTGCAGTTGACGAGACAAAAAGACATGCCATGTTTTCCCACGTCTTTCTTGAACTATGACCTTCTCCATCTTTTCCCAAATTATTCTTTTCTTTTTTCCGTCATCCTTTTTTTTATCCTATTTTTTTTTCTTTTTCCAAACTATTCAAAAAGAGAAAAATGAAAAGAAATAAGAATTGAGTACACAGTTCAAGAAAGCCGTGGAAGAACATATCCATAATCTTGACTTCCACCCTCTCCTTTCGAGCCTCTCTAATATTTCACAACAATATAATTAAATCAGAAAAATTCAACAAAATAATAAACTTTGAATTCAGAGCACCCCTCGATCTAGATTTTTTTTGCGAAAGATTTAATTTTGATAACAAAAAAAATCGTAACTAAATATAGATTCTTTATTGAGAAAAAAAATCAAAATTTTAATTAATTATGAGTATGATTCCACATTGGATAGGATTTCTTGCAAAATGAAAATAAATACAGAATCAAAAAAAAAAAAAAAATCAAACTAGTTGATTAAACTTCTCCAGAATAACCTTTGAATTTGAAATCTTAGATTTAGAAACTTTTTGATTCTGAAAGATTTAGTTTGAAGAACAAACAACAGAAGGAATTGTAAGTATAATATCCTTGAGAAAAAAATAATAAATAAAGCAGAATTAAATATAGGTATAATTCACATTAGAGTTCACCTTGAATATATATTGACAATAAATGAAGTGAAGAAGATTTGAAGAAAATAGATAAATAAACAAATAAAAGTTCCATGTGTTAATATTTGAATTCAGAGCCCTTCTCGAGCTAGAAAATTTAAAGAAAATTTATGGAAATATTAATTCTGAAAAGATTAAAAGATTAATAAAGAATAAAAGGGGGAAAATAAAACATAAAAAAGAGAAAATAAAGAAAAATCATGAAGAGCTCGAGGATGAGAGAGCGAACGCTGGCCCGCCTTTAAGTAGATCCAAAAGAATTGGTTACAAATCACGACGCTAGTTTTTCAAAAACTCCAAATCACACCCGCGGTTGCCTAACAGCGTCGGGACCCACGGTCACTCAGCAGGTGAACTCGTGAGTGACCGAAAAAAAGCGTGTCGTTAATTGGAAGAGTAATGGGGTAACCAACCGGCGACGTCCTCGGGCACCGGATGAATCGGGATCCGATTCAAGCCCGCACGTGCGGTCCAGCCTGCCAGCGAAGGACGCGTGCCGGTCGTCCGGGTCGTACGCGTTGGGTTCCCGAGGGCTAAAGCTGAACGCCAGTGACAGCCGTCGCTCGATCGGGGCCGTAGGATGTTGAGGGGTTCGGACGGCCCAGATTAGAGGATAAGGGTCAAATTTAATTCGCGCGCGCGGAGCAGCGCACCGTTTGCCGATTTTCTTAACGGATTATTTGCCGGATTAACCGCCGAGGGATTCAGTTATCTGCTGACCCGCTCCATCTCGCGAGCGCTACCTATAGTAGAGGAGTTTTGAATTTCTACAAGAAATCTTACTTGTTAAACTAGTCATACCGGATGTTACGGTGTCTCCAACCGCTTCTTTAAAATTTTCTCCAAAATGAGAAAACAAAAGTCATATTCTCCAAATTATTTTTACATCAACTCCAACAGCTTCCTCATTTTGAAGAAGCAGATTTGGGGAAACTTCCCCATTTTTTCTCCTCCATCCCTATTTTGAGGAATGAGGTGGGGGAATCTGTTGGACCAAAAACCTAACTAAATTCTCCAAAAGTGAGAAATGATGAAGCTGTTGGACATGCTCTAAGAACTGTACTACTTAGTGCTATAAAACACAAGATTTTGATGCCCTTGTACACTAATAACTTCTAATAGTAGTTTATAGAAAAAAAAATTTTCAAGTTTCTGTTTCTTTTATTAGTACATGAGCAATTTGTAGTTTACTATATCAGATACAACGTTAATTTTTAAAAGTCGACACGCAGAAATTTTCAGATAAACATCTTACTATATAAGACACAAAATTGGGATATCCTAAGACGCTCATACCTTCGGATAGCAATTCAGAAAGAAGAATCAATATTTATTTGTCTTATGGTACAAGAGCGATATACATTGTACCTTAATATTATCCTCAAATCAGCCATATTTTTTGAGCGGTGGTAGGGGAATTTTTTTTACCGAACAAACCAACAGGAAAATTAGAAATATCTTGGGAATTTTACTGAAAACACTCGGCGCATTTTAACTCAACGTGGTAGAATTAAAGGTACAACATCCGATATCTAATTTTGAGGGGTAGACTTGCGTATATAATTTTGAGGGGTACACTCTGCTGATTATGTTTTTATTTTCATTGAAATCCAAGCGGGGTCATAAAACTCCCATTAATAAGTGTTCTTTTGATCCTCAAGCCTATCACCCTAACAGTAAATAGTAAACAGATAATCAGAAGCAATTGCATCCAGCCAACAGACTCGTCAGCTCTCGGGAGGACCTATTACACTGTGGATGCATATAACCATAAATAAAAATTATTAGTTGCCGGCATCGGATACAATCCTGCAACTCAACATCTCAATCTGGAGTTTCTCATACTTCTTGGAAATTGCCTCAAGATGATGGAACATCCATTTCCATTTCTTTAGAGACGAAAGAGAGATCCTAATTAGTGCTGTTCATCGGTCTAACCATCAAAGAAAAAAGTTTGAAAGACGGAAAAATGACAGTCTAAAACAATAAATGCAAAGCTCTATGTCAGAAGCAAGTGCAATAGAGAACATCATAGAGAAATTAGATGTTTGAATGGATATTATACCAGAGAATATAATCCCCACTCAATAAACATGAAGCAGAGCAGATGACTTGCATGCGTATAGAAAAAACAATGGATTTGATTGAAATAGAATAGCAGAATTAGTAGTTAGCATTCACAACACTCCCACATTTGTTTGATCTTAAGAACATACTCAAACATAAACAACAAAAAAACCTTTTATCCCAAAAACTTTTTGGGTCACCTACATTAATCCTATTCTTCCATTTAGTTCTATTTTGCGTCATCTCCGTACAGCCTAAAAACACAAGTAAATTATACAACTCCCTCTTAACAGTAGAGTACAAGTCCACATAAATCCATAAAGTTCATGAGATGCATTAAAATTCAATTATACTAGAGCAAATCTAACACAATAGCCACTCAGGGCACGTAGAAAAGACATCAGAACCATCATATTTCATAATATATTATAATATCATGAAAAAGGGTAATTCAAAAGATGATATTGATCATGTTCCATACCAATCAGAACTTATGCCAACAAAACATAGAGAAACATAAGCATAAAAAAACAGTGATAAAAAAACATGGTACCGACTCAGAAACAGAGCCTGGGAAGTTCGGAATGTGCTCCAATATTTCCATGAGATAGCAGGCATCGCTACACTTTCCACCGAAGATCAAATTTAAGCAGCCTCAACCTGTGGTTGTTCAGAAACTTGCCCATCTACGCTCAAACCCAGTTTCTTCTCTAACATCCTCCAACCCCCCAAAAGATTATCTGGAAACCTCTCCTTCACAACACCAATCACCTCCTTTGCCTCCTCCACCTTCCCTCCCTTCACCAACCCCTCAACCAAGGCACTCGTCGTCTTAAAATCCGGAATCTTATTACACTTCATGCTATCCCTACAAACCATCAACCCCCCATCAAAATCCCCATTCTCACACAAGAACTGAACTAACATCTTAAATATCCCCGCATTTGGATCAATCCTCTTCTTCCTAAACTCCTCATATGCCTCCTTCGCCTCCTCAAACCTCCCATTCCTACAATAACATGTAATCAAATAGTTATGAGTTATAGCATCCGGCTTCATCTCCGCTGCCTCCATCTCCCTCATCACCTCAACTACCTCCTCCGGGCTCCCATTCTTCGCCGGGTACATTGCCTTCACATTATAAGCTGCCAAATCCGGCTTAATCCCTTTGCCCACCATCTCATCCCACAACTTCTCGGCCTCTTCGCGCTTCCCCATTTTATAATAAGAATCAACGAGAGTTGTATAAACAATCAAACTAGGTTCCATTCCCTTCTCCTTCAATTCACTAAAAGCCTCAAAAGCCTTCTGGGTCTTCCCACTGAGACAAAACGACTTAATCAAGATCCCATAGCTAACCGAATCGGGTACAATCGACTCGTGCTTAGCAGGTAAATCGACAAACAGCTGAGGAACAAAGTGGGGCTTCTTAGCTTTTATTTGGGCCGAGAGTAGCGCGTTGAACGAGGTCGAAGTTGGTTGGGGAATTTCATCGAACAGCTTGCGGGCATCGGGGAGCATAAAAGCGGAGCCGTAGGTCAAAATTAGGGTTGAGAGAAAGGGCTCGTCTTGTTTGGATTGGGGGTATGTTTCGCGGCGGCGCTGGAGGAGAGAGTGGACGGTTGGGGAATTTCATCGAACAGCTTGCGGGCATCGGGGAGCATAAAAGCGGAGCCGTAGGTCAAAATTAGGGTTGAGAGAAAGGGCTCGTCTTGTTTGGATTGGGGGTATGTTTCGCGGCGGCGCAGGAGGAGAGGAAGGAGGCGGCCATTTTTTTGGGTTAGATCTTGTTACGGTTGGGGGTTTAGGGTTTTGGAGTGAGCGTTTTTGCGATCGGGAGTTCTTGACCTGAGTTGGATGTTAAATGGGGTATTTGCAGAAAACACCTCAGGTAAAGAAAAATTATGGAGAAAATGCTCGATGTTTTATTGTGGGGGAGAGTATTTTAAAATTTAGATTCAGTGTTCGATCCAATGCAAAAATTGTTCAATTTTTAATATTTGGTTTTGGAAAGAGAGTATTTGTTTGTATGAAAAGGACTGTTTGGTTGACTGAGCTCCAGCATTAGATGCTGTAGTCAGATATCTATTTTTTAAGTAAGCAACAGGCTAGCTGTGGAAGGTAATTGGATTTATATTTATTTATAGAAATAATTTGGCTGCAACAAAAATTGTGAGCCTTTCCCATTAATTAAAAAGTTAAAAATTACTGTCAAGTCGGCCAACCGCAGCTTAGGGGCTGTTTGGTTGTATGTTTTTATCATGTAAAAGGATGGAAAGTGTAAAAAAGTGGGTCCCAATGTCAGCTTTCATCACTTTCAATTGTTTGTTTGTAGTTGTGAAAATAGTGTAAAGTGATTTCATATACTGATGTGGCTTGTAAAGTGATTTCATAAAAAAAAAGACATGATTTTAGAAGAAAGCTGACATTAAAATCAGAGAAAAATAATAAAAAATAATTCCAACCAATATGATCATTTGTGTAGAGACCACTTTTTACACTTTCCAAACAAACAATTAGGGGCTGTTTGGTTGTATGTTTTTACCATGTAAAAGGATGTAAAATGTAAAAAAGTGGGTCCCAATGTCAGCTTTCATCACTTTCAATTGTTTGTTTGTAGTTGTGAAAATAGTGTAAAGTGATTTTATATGCTGATGTGGCTTGTAAAGTGATTTCATAAAAAAAAGACATGATTTTAGGAGAAAGCTAACATTGAAGTTAGGAAAAAATAATAAAAAATAATTCTAACCAATATGATCATTTGAGTAGGGACCACTTTTTACACTTTCCAAACAAACAATTAAAGTTTTATTTTGCAAACCAAACAAGTGTTTTATGATTCCAATGGAATCAAAAACAAACAAAGAAAAGTATAAAAGTGAAATTGATGAGGTGGACAACAACTTTCCAAGTTGTGTCATAAATACACAACTTTACCAACAACAACCAAACAGCCCCTTAAAGTTACATTTGCAAACCAAACAAGCAATTTATGATTCCAATGGAAACAAAAACAAACAAAGAAAAGTATAAAAGTGAAATTGATGAGGTGGACAACAACTTTCCAAGTTGTGTCATAAATACACAACTTTACCAACAACAACCAAACAGCCCCTTAGAAACTGCAAATCAATTTACAATTATAAACAAAAAACAAAACTTAATTAATTGCAACTAGAAATATACTTTGTAGCACTCGGGTGTTGTTTTTGCTGCCTTCTAGAAGATCGACCAACTAATCCTAGAGATAAAACAAAGAGTCGTATCTCATTCCTACATAAATAATGTCTTTGAGAGTTAGACCTGTGGTTATAAGGGGGAATGTGAAATGCTAAAAAAAAAAACAGATCACATCAGATTTAATACATATTTAACTTTCAATATTGAATGACTCCAATCACGAGTTGTAACTTCACAAATTCAGGATTTGTCCGGTCATCAACTGTAACCTTTTTTTTTTGTTTTCATTCTTTTTCCCTTTTAATGGTATTTATACAGCATCACAACAAAAACAATGACATTTTCTTCAGGACAACATCCGCTGCGTGGGAATGGCTTCATTGCAAATGTTTCTGCGGTTTCTGAAGCAAAAGAGATGCAGATTTTACCTCAACATGTGTACTCCATGTAGTAGTACCAGATTCACTCCTGGTGCCCAACTATGAAGTCTCACCACCTTCAGATGCCTTCTTCTACTTATTACAAATACACTTGGAAGGCTCGAAGTATATCATACATCTTCTGCCTGTATGTTGCTGGAAGAAAATGGCTTGACCGATGATCGAAGTGTTTCTGGCCCTTCTGCAGCGATTCGCTTGCATAATGCATCACAGTTGCTTATCACCTCTGTAAGCCTGCCTTTGAGTTCGCCCACCTCGACCTGTAAAGGCTGAGCTGCAATTTTGAAAGGTATAATCAACATGAGTAGATTTCAAATATCAGTTTATGAGAATAGCTGAGAACGAAAGCACCAGTTTGGAATAGCTAATGTGACAATGAGGGTTAGAGGCAAGCTTTAAGAGAACTTGGTTGGAAGCAATTAAGAAGGATATGATAATAATTAACTAAACTTAGGAGATAACCCTGACAGAATGGAAGAATAGAATTCATGTAGTCCGCTTCAAAATTTTGATAGAAAGGGTTCATTGTTGTGGTGGTTATTCTAACAGGGAATGGATGATTACCTTCGGCAAAGCTGTGTGCAGTTGTCCTCATAGACGAGACTGAATAATTGAATCTCTGGAGAAGTTTGACAGCCAAGGCATCCGCTGTTTCAATCTTCATTTCGATCTCCTCCTGCGAAATTTAACAGTTACAACACTCTTCATTTGTTAGCAAAAGCAGGCATATTCTCGTATGTCATGTAAGTTGATGTAGTTCTAGAAGTTGAGGTGTTTCAGTTTAGTCCATTGACATCGCAAATCAAAGAGTTTATGGATTTTGAACTGCATATTGCTATCTCCATGAATGACACAAAGCATAAGGCACCATTCCTTCATTCTAAATGAGAACTTGAATAGTTCAACCTATTTTTACTTGCTAACTAACTACAAGAGATCTAATCGGATTAGGAACAGAAATATTCTATACATCCAGAAGAACAGTGGGATATTGAAAAAGAAAGAAAGAAAGAAAGAAAGAAAGAGGATACCTGTTTCTGACTAATCTTTTTGGCCTTCTCTTCCTGCCATTCACGATACATAGAGAAGAGTTCTAGTAGAACATTGGGATTCAAAGTACCTAAGCCAAAAAAAGGAAAATAAAGTACATGATCAGTATAAGAAGTCATAAATAGATCGTACTAGAATAGAGTGGCTTGTCAAATTCAGTTCAGGTGGTCGGACTCAAATGGATGCACATGTTACAATCAGTGTTCCAAGTAGTAAACATGACAAAGGGATTTCTGGAATATTAGGACAGACGTGTTACACGACACGGGAAGAGAATGACTATCAAGGGAAGCAGATTTTTTTTGAAAAAAAAAAACAAGTTTAAACAAAACACAGCACATCTTAGCTATTCCTGCTTTTCTCACATAAAGGTATTATTTTATACTTTCCATGTTGTCACAAAATTTTATGATTTGAACTTTCAGCGCGTCTTGTATTTATAAACTGCTGAAAATAATCCACGGACAATTAGTAGTTTTGGATGTTGCAAAACTATGTTAGTCAGATTAGAGTTAGGCAGTAAGACATCTCAGATAGATTCCCTTTCGGCAAGCATATAATTATTACTTGTAAATCATTGCGGCACAAATTTGTGAATTCACAATCCTTTCTTGTCTAAAGATGTTACCTTTCTTCTTACTATTCTTGTAAGCACACAAAAAATCAAAATGCATTTCAATAGACCTTTTTCTTTTTTGTAAACAACTCAAAGTTCGCTTGTAGCCATATTTACCTATTAGCTTTGCTTACTCAAATTTTGTATAGGTTAAATTGCATATAACCCCTCATATCTAGAACTTCATTAACACTTATTACCTTTCAACTATTTTCTGCAGTTTATCCTTTCTAAAAATGAGAATTTAGGAATCGTAAGTGCAAGTGAAGGTCTAGATGAGGGGTTATCAGCAATTTAACCTTTCTTGTGTACTTCAACTGATACAGTGAGCAATATTAGGGCTTCATCAACAAAACTAAATTGGGCGCTTCACTGAATAAACAAAGATGGTAAATTTATAAATCATTTACCTGAAACTGAAGGAGCAGAGGATGAAGACGAGGGCTTTCTGGCAACTAAGATATCACTCAAGCTGCCCTCAGTTTGAGGCGGCGATTTCAGTATCGGTTCCGTCTGCCAAAAAATTTTTTAAATTAAAAATTAAAAAAAAAGGAAAATTATAAAGGAGCAAATTAGGGTTTAGAGAGAGGGGGTTACTAATTTTAGGGCTTGGATGCGCAGGAGGATTGGATCCACGCCGTCGACCTTCTCGGAGACGGTGGTGATCTCATCGACGATCGGAATCCGCTGCTGCTGCTGATCTTGATGATGCTGTTGCTGTCGTTTGTTGAGCAGTAGAGATTCAGAGGCGCCCATTACTATTTTTATTTTCTGATCTCGAGCTTCCTTCTTTTTTTTTTTTTTTTTTGCTCGGGGTTTTGTGCAGCAGAAGTAGAACCGGTGGAAAAGGAAAAATTCGGAGTTCAATAATTATTCTTTTGTTTTCTGTTGTATATATGATATATAATATTCTGTTAGGTCCCTAGCATAATGGTATTTTCACGAGGACCCTTTAAATTTGAAGAACTCAAAAGTTTTAGGCTTATATTCACTTTGATACCCCAGACTTTTCCAATTTTAACTTTGATACCCTAAAATATTATTCCAACCCTTTGATACCCCAAGGTTACAATCCAATTCAGTTTGATACCCGCAAAGTATCTTATAACACTTTGATACCCTAAAGTTTCAATCACATTTCATTTGGATGTTCCTGTCTAAATTATGATAACCGGTATTTAGGAACCAGAAAAATGGATCTAAATATATCATTTGCTAAAGATGTCATATAAATTCAATTGAAAATCTGATGTGATCAACACTAGGTATTAAAGTGAATTAGCTTGAATTGAAACTTTAGGGTATCAAGATATTAAAATATATTAAGATATTAAAGTGAAGTTGAATGCAAATTTCTATTTTAACTTTGATACCCCGGACTTTTCCAATTTTAACTTTGATACCCTAAAATATTATTCCAACCCTTTGATACCCCAAGGTTACAATCCAATTCAGTTTGATACCCGCAAAGTATCTTATAACACTTTGATACCCTAAAGTTTCAATCACATTTCATTTGGATGTTCCTGTCTAAATTATGATAACCGGTATTTAGGAACCAGAAAAATGGATCTAAATATATCATTTGCTAAAGATGTCATATAAATTCAATTGAAAATCTGATGTGATCAACACTAGGTATTAAAGTGAATTAGCTTGAATTGAAACTTTAGGGTATCAAGATATTAAAATATATTAAGATATTAAAGTGAAGTTGAATGCAAATTTCTATTTTAACTTTGATACCCCGGACTTTTCCTATTTTAACTTTGATACCCTAAAATATTATTCCAACCCTTTGATACCCCAAGGTTACAATCCAATTCAGTTTGATACCCACAAAGTATCTTATAACACTTTGATACCCTAAAATTTCAATCACATTTCATTTTGATGTTCCTGTCTAAATTATGATAATCGGTATTTAGGAACCAGAAAAAATGGATCTAAATATATCATTTGCTAAAGATGTCATATAAATTCAATTGAAAATCTGATGTGATCTACACTAGGTATCAAAGTGAATTAGCTTGAATTGAAACTTTAGGGTATCAAAATATTAAAATATATTTGGATATTAAAGTGAAGTTGAATGCAAATTTCTATGGTATCAAAGTGTTAAAAAGATACTCTGTGGTATCAAAATAAAGAAAGAGGTAAACTTTAGGGTATGGAAGTGAAGTAAGTGTTAAACATATCTAATACACAATTCACCATGGGCACCACATATAAAGTTGATTTATTAAGTCCAAACCGAAATCACCATGGGCACCAATTTGTCTAACCTATAAGACTTAAGGGAATAAATAGCAAATTCAGTAATGTGAAGGAGTAAATTTAGAATATGAAACATAATAGATTTTTTTGATAGGGGTTGTTTGGTTAATAAATTGTATTATGATGTATGTTATGGATCTAGGAAAATCGATTCTTAAAATCTATATGCCTGCAATGGAGATTAAAGTGTATTTGCATGAAGGATAAATTTTTATCAAATTTTTTGTTTGGTTGCACATACATTTTGTTGGGCATATGTGATGAAAATCATAAATTCAAGTAAAATTAATATAATTTTAGGGGATTACATTGATACATTTATACTACGTGTCAACCCAAATTCGAGAGATGAAAACAGATAAACAAATAACGTATTTAATAATTACTTAGAACTGTAAGCTTGTGAGTCACATTTTTCATTGTATAATCTACCAATACATGGAAAGAAACAGTCCATGTGTCATGTGTGCATAAGGGGTGAGGGATCTAATACTATTTTAAGAAAAATTCCTTGGAGACCGCAAATCATGGGACCCAATGGGGGACAGGTGAGGTGTCAACCCCTGGGTGCATGATCTGCTGTTCATGAACAGTAGATCATGCACCCAGGGGTTGACACCTCACATGTCTCCCCTTGGGTCCCATGATTTGGGGTCCCTGTAGAACAACTCCTATTTTAAAGGCCCTATAACCATTACACCATAACTTTAAAATTATAATAATGTTTGATGATTATATTTTTTTATATTCTAGCACCATTTTTCATCATTATGAGCCACACTTTTAGAATTCTTAAAAATACACTTACACTTAAAACTATAAATTCTAATTGCCATCACACTTCAAAAATTAAGAAAAATACCCTCACAATTAACAAGATTAAATGGAATGTCCCCACCATTGGGGGAAAAAATCTAAAAAAAGGATCTTAAACTTGAAAAAAAGAAAAATATACTTGATCATATCTATCCATTTTGAAGAAAACTATCTCGAAATACCTCTCTTAAAAAAAAACAAAAATACCCTCATTTTTAAAACAATCAAATGGAATGTCCACACATTTGGAGGGAAAACTCAAATAACCTTACAAGTTGGAGAAATAAAAAAGAAAGAGAAAGTTAAATACACTCAAAATCATATTTTTATGTTTCTTTGACAATTTGATTGCAACACTTCTCTTACATTTTGTGTCATGCATGCATTGCACGCACTGAAATAATACTGTTTTTTTAAAAGCAACTTAGATATGATATGCCTAGCCATATACAAATTTGGACATGTTTCTCCTTTATTTTAAATTCTAATGTCCTAGTGAGATCATTTCGTCGAGTATAGACCTTTGGTTTTTTTGCAAAAAAATCTAAAAAGGAAGTCACATTAATCATTTAATCTTAAAAACGGATCATTAGTTAGCTAATGTGTAGCTGCTATTCTCAAGAGAGAGAAATGAACGGGAGAGGGATAATTGTTACTATTAAAACTTAATTTGTCTTTTGACTTCCATGTAATGCTCCATAAATCTATTCCTCTCTACAAATGGGAGAACTAAAGAAAATTACTATTCATACTACAGTAAATATTACAGTAGAATTTACTGTAGTATTATTACTGTAACAAACATGAAACTGAATACTGTTTTTTTGAAAAAATATTATTGTAACGTACGAAAATACTATAGCAGAGATGAGATGCTGTAGCAATCCAAAATTAAAATCGGAATTACTGTAGAAAAAAAAAGGTTGTACACACTAGTACTACGTAACACCAAAAAGGAAAATGATAGGGGCACACCCCCCAACCACACCTTCAACCACACCCCCTCTCTCATTTGCTACAGTGCACCGGGCCCCACATGAGATTTTAAAATTCTGGTGCACTGTAGCAAATGAGAGAGGGGGTATGGTTGGAGATGTGATTGAGGGTGTGCCCCTAGTGCCACCCCACCAAAAATAAGAAAAGGATGTGTAGCATGAGATAAATTATTTAATTTCATCAAATTTTCTCATGGAGTACCAAGAATTTCTCGAATTGAGTGTGAAGGACAGAGAAGGCTAACTTGATTAATGGTATGCATTGATGGTTTGAGTTTGATTCACTTTAGCAAGTAGCATTATGTAGACAGATTGTATAAATTATGTACATAGAAGATTATCTCCCTTCAGTCTCCTCTCCCGAGTCCCAACGGTCTTCTCTCTCTCCTCTCCCAAGATTTAAATTTATTCTCTCTCTCTCTCCCTCTACATGGCCAAGCCGCGTAATTCTCCATCATCCTCCTCCGACCGCCGCCAATGGGAGAGAATCTTCAACGCCCTGGTCGAGTTGATGAAATCTCAGCAGTCCCAGATCGAAACCCTAGTCGACGACCGCAAGTTCCTCGAGCAGTACATCCATCTCCAGCACGATCACTTCTCTTCGAGAGCCCGCTTCCTCGAGTCCCACATCGCTCAGGTTCGACCAAAACCCTAACCCTAACCCTAAACCCCCAATTTCTCAGTTCCTGATCTCAAAGGCGGTTCTTTTGTCTGCAGTTGAAGAAAGAGGAGGCGAAAGGCCGCAAGATTCAGACAGCGAAGGTCGACCTGATGGTGGAAGCGAAGCAGAGGGATGTGCTTTGGTATAAGAAGCAATATGGTCAGATTTTCTTCCTTTTTATTTTCTTCTTTTGTTAAGGCTAGGGTTTTCTTCGGTTATGTTACGGTTCTTTATAAGGAATTGGGGAAGAAATCTAGCGTTTATGGGTTCTTTAGGGCATTGGAATTGTATAAACATGGGAGTTGCAAATTTGGTTTCTTTTTGGGTAAATTGTAGATAGCCCCCTCACCAGCGCATTTTATCACCTCTCAACAATTTTAGTCGCTCCCACTAAGTGCTTCACATTTGAGAAGAAATCAGTCGTTGAGGGGTGCTTTCCAATAGGAAAATAGTTAAAGGGTGATAAGTGCTTGCTCAATGTTTAGATGAGGGGGCTATCTGCAATTAACCTTTTCAAAGGAAAAATTGCAACTTTTTGTGCTTCAACACAATAGAGAGTTTGGTTCAGATTAGGGCCTTTTTGGTTTGACGTGAAAGATTTAGATTTGGCTAAAGGAAATCTTGCAACATTTTAGCCCTTTAGAAATTATTGGTAGTTTTTGGGGGCATTTGATTGTTCTGCTCATAATGTTTTCTTTTTTCTTTTCATGTTTCATGGATCAGAACTTGCTGAGTCTGATTTGGAGGATTTTCGTGTTTGTGTGGAAGATTTGAGTTCTCAGATCTCAGAGTTAAAGGTTTGATTGTACTCTCTCAAGTGGAAATTCTTATTTTGTCTTGTGAAATTTAGTCGCATACTGAGTGCAGTAGTAGTATTTGCGTTGTAATCCCTTTACCTTTTGATTTTGAACTTTTTGATTTTTAGGAGAAACTAATAACCGGAGAAGCTGGTAAAAGTAGAAAAGGAGTCGGAGACTCGAGCCATGGGGACAATTCAAAAGAAGAAGAATGGTGTATGGAAGCTTTAAAGGGAGATTTAAGAAAGTTGAAGCATTCCTATAAAAAACTCAGTTCGAAGAAGGAGGCTGAGGTTTCTTCCTTGTTAGCAGAGAAGGATTTCGTGTGGAATCAGTTAAAGAAAATGGAGAATGACTACATTACTGCTCTCAAGAGTAGGAAAATTGAACTTGAGCATGCTAATGAAGCTGTAGAGAAGCTTCAAAATAATTTGCAGAACTTGCAGAAGTCAGCCGATGAGAAGGATCAAATGATAGCTGAACTACACTCGTTGGCAAAGGAGAAGGATGACACAATTGCTAAATTAAGAGATGATTTGTCCAAGCTCGCAAAATGCACTATTGGGAAATCCAGACTTTCTAAGGAAAACTCAGAAAGTGCTTCACAGACACCATCCGAGAGTAATCCAAGAAAGAGTTCAAGGAAACGTAAATCAGAAAGTACAGAACAAGGCACAACTCAGAAGCATAAACGCCGTCTATCTGATGATTCTCCTGTAACAGGAGCATCTGCTCCAGTCCATGTAAGTGTCATATGATTCTATCTTCAACATTTATTATGCTTTATTCTTTTAGCTTTCTATGTTTTATTGTGTAAGCGTAGCTGGTGCCTAGTGTTATTAATTTGTTTGTTTATTTATTTACTCTTTTAGGTACTAAGGCCTCTTATGCTCTAGTTACTTCCTTGTTAGATGTTTAGTAAAAGGTTGCTCCTTATACTGTTTTAACCTTTATATTTTTCCAAGGTTGAATCTTGTACTTAATAAGTATTGCATTTAGATATCAGTGCTTGTCCTATATCTCAAATGTGGATAAGTTGCATACTTGTATTCATGTAGGACCAGTTGCAGAGATTTGTGCCTTTCTACAAGTATCACATAAATGCTCATGCTCCCTATCACTGCAAGATGCACTGACTCTTTTTCATTTTATTAGGTTGTTTCCTGCAAATTATCGCCAGGTTTCTCTGGCTCACTTTCAACTGATAAGATTGTTTCTAGATATTATCTCCAGTGTTCACTGCATCTAATTCCTAGCTTATATTTATGTTGATTGCTGACTATGAAGTAGAGGGCTGGAAGCTCTGACTGTGTGTGTGTACGCCGGAATGCAATTATAATGTTAGTGACTCTGTAAACCCTTGGCCATGACTTTCCTTAAGAAGGATGTATACTGCACATTTTCATAATCTAGTGAGAACTAATAAGTATAAATTGGTTTTTGAACAGTGCGAAGACATCTCAAATGCACTAATTAGTTGCACATCGAATAGTTCAACAGTAGGCATAAATCCACAGATTGAAGCTTATAGTCACAGATTTTTATACATTAATGTTTTAGGCGCACAAATTTTCCATTCGTATTAGTGGTGGGCCAACGAAGCCCCTCTAATTCTTTTTGCCCACAACACCACCTGTAAATGAGAAATAACTAGAATGCCCTTAAGAGGAAAAAAAAATCCCAATCAGGGGGGAGGGGTTGTGCAGCCCATAAGTTGAAAATGATTAAATTGAGTTTTTTTTTCTCTTTCAAGGACAATCTGGTTATTTGCCATTTTCTGGAAGGGGGGTCTATTGGGAAATTTTGATTGCTTAAAGGGGTTCTGACACACCCGAAGTTTGCGCCGGGA